TATGTGTATTTAGATTATCTAAATGCATATAGTTTATATGGACTATTTCTGTAGGGAGGGTTATCTAGTGAGTGTTTTTTTAATTCCCTGTGTCACTTTTCTTGGCTGAACTAAATTTCATTTAAAATGTATTGTATGTCCAGTATTAATTTATTATTTTTAAATGTTTTTATTCTTGAATTGGGTAGTCAGAGTTAACTGACTATATAAGCACTTTCAAACACCCCTTTCCCCATTCGACTCTTACAAGTGTTTTATAGTATTATGTGCAATGCCTGTCTCCTTTTATTAATATTTCCATGCTACAGGCTTTTACTTAATTCACAAACAGTAGTAGATACTGTACCTAATTTATATAATGTGAATATTCTTCATATATAGCAACACAGTAATATCTAAAACTAGGAGTGGATCACTCTATTTACCTGGAGTTGACTCCTATTACTGCTGCCTTGTTTCATCTCAAAAGGGCTCTTTTTCCTCCTCTGTTCCAATGGTTTGGGAAGGTCCAGGGTTGATTACACTGTGATCTGTTGTTGCAGTTCTGGGACTGACAGGACTTGCTTCCCCTCTTATAATTGCGAAATAGTCTTACATCTCCATGTTTAAGCTAATTGTTAATTTTTTATGTATGCTCAGGTCGTCTGGGATCTTTGAATAAATGATCTGCTTTTTAAAATCAAAGTAAATGAGTTTTTCTTGTGCAAGTCATGTTTACTTTACTGGATTTTGACACCTGAAGTATTTCGATACTGGAAAATAGCAGTGGGTGTATGACTCCTTTAAAATATGAAAGTTGATTAAATTTAGGCAAACTAGACTGAAAAAAAATTACAAGAACCCGAGTAGAATAGCAATAGTGTATAATAAAAGAATTTACAGTGTTGTCAGCATCAGGCATTAAAAAACACAGGATTTTGGCTTTGGCTTTTCATTAATTTTTTTTAAACAGAACTTCTAGATAGTTTTTTAAAAGCACTTTTTTGTTACTGATTTAAATTGCAGGCATCTTTCTGAAAATGTGTGCAAAATACTTCTTTTAATTGGAGGTCCATGCATGTCTGAGACTGAGAGGGGATCTCATCAATGCTTATAAATATCTAAAGGGCGAGCATCAAGAGGATGGGAACAGACTCTTTTCAGCGGTGCCCACCAACAAGGCAAGGAGCATCGGGGACAAACTGGAACACAGGAAGTTCTATCTCAACATGAAAAACTTCTTTATTTTGTGGGTGCCAGAGCCCTGGAACAGGCCGCCCAGAGAAGCTGTGGAGTCTCCTTCTCTGGAGATATTCATACCTCACCTGGATGCTTTCCTGTCCAGCCTGCTCTAGGTGGACCTGCTTTGGCAGGGGGGTTGGACTAGATGATCTCCAGAGGTCCCTTCCAACCTCTACCGTTCTGTGATATGACTCAAGGAGGTGGAAGGACCAAGAGCACAACTGAGGCTTGGCAGTCATGTGCTTACAATGGTATTATTCAGCTCTGAGGTGCTAAGATATATCTCATTCAGTGGCTTACAGCACGACCATGCGTTTTTAATTTACAAAGCAGTTCATCTAAATATAGGGCATATAGCTATGACCTTTTTAAAATTTAATTTTTGTTTTTAGGAGTAGTTGAAAGTGTTCAGTGTAGCATCAATTCAGTGTTGAGAATCGCTACTTAAAAGATTAAAAAAAAAAATCTGGTTTCAACAGCCTGGCAGTACTAAAGCTGGTGAGAAACTTGCATTGATTTCAGTGGTCCTTGGCTGTGGCTTACAGAACCACCTGAGATGGTAGTTAGTTTTGCAGGAGGTTTGAGGGCGGGCTGAAGCAGTCTCTGCTGTTCAATTCGGATTAATTCTCGTGTATAGTGACACCCTACAGGACCGCAGAGATTTGAGGTACCGCCCAAAGAAAGTCGGATGTTGGAAAGATGGATGTGACAAGTTATCAGATCTGGTAATTTAAACTAGGCCAATGCGTAGTTGCCAATGTTGTGGTTTCAACTTCATTGCTAGGTAACAGCAACTGGACAAATTATTCTGTCCCTGTCCCTATCACAAAAGCACTTTTCTTTTAAAATCCTATTTGCTAGTAAAGTCATGTGCCAGCCACAGTTTTCACTGTTTCTTCACACTGCAATGAATAAGAACAACACACTTTGTGTAACTGAGACACAAATGAAGTGCGACATTTTAGTTGGATGGGTGTGTATGTAGAAGATCCACATACTGTTTTTCTTCATATGTAAAAATCTGAATGTTTCTCTGAAAGTCTTTGATTCTGTGGTATTGGGCATCGTAGAAGGAATGAGGGAAAATGAGACTCTGTCTCTAAAGGTAAACCTTTACAGGTGATAGCACCTTCTGCTGCCCTTACCTTCTGTTTGGAAGGAGGCCACAGCTGAGATCTTTGTCTTCTGCTCTCCCCAACTAAATACCCTCAGTCCTATTTCTGCCTGATTTTCATTTGACTCCTTGATTGAGGTTGTGTTCGTTTTTAAAATTCCTGCCTACATAGTGCTGAGCTTCAAGAGGAGCCTGAAGAGCAGGAGCATGGTGTTCTCCAGCATGCTGCATGGCGTAGTCCTCAGGTTCTGCTGCTCAGAGAAGGGTGGGATTCTGATTTCCTTCTGGCTGAAAGCTCTACACGCTGGCTTGTAGGGCCAAAGCAGGGCAGCACCACAAACATAGCCCTGGGATTGGACAATTAGAACCTGCTTAATTTTCTCCAATTTCCCCAGGAGAGCTGCACAGATGGGGTGTGTTGCTGTCGAAGCTACCAGCAGTGTGCTGGGGACATGGATGCCCGTTTCCCTCAAAGGGATGATTCAGGACTATATGAATAAGTAAAGCCCACAGACACTTTTGAGCTGGATGTGGAACCCGTAATGAGTGTAAGCACCTGCAGGGTTAGTCAGGCTTGGAGGGCCGGGAGGCAGGGTTTTTCCTCGGGGAGTTCTCTGCATGAAACCCAAGTCTCATTATAGGCAGATTCAGTCTCACCCGGTGTCACTGCTGTAATAGTTAATCCATCAGGAAACATGAACTTCCATTTTATTTTCACTGGGGATTTAATTATCAAAGCTTTGAGGAGCAAGTAACGAGGATAGAATAGTTTTATAGTTGATTATATGTGAAATGTGAGCAGATCCGATGGATCAAGGAGAAGAAAGCTTACTCTGTTACACATTTCTTACTTGAAGGGAGTGGCTGAAGTTAATATTTTCTTTCTTCTGAATGGCACGCGTGAATTGTTCCTGAGCAGTTATGCCCCAGTGTAAGCTTACACTGAGCCCTCTATTTCATTTTCTAACAACCTTGGAGTTATTCTGAGGCAAATGTATTTGCAGTACCAAAAATGACTATGTGCAGAAATATAAGCCTGAGTGTAAATAATTTTTTTCAGTTTTCTAAATGAAAATGTTTTGAAGCATAAATTGCGTGACAAAAATAACCATTTTTTCTGAGTGCTGAAGTTCTAATAGCCGGGGAAGTCGGAGCCAAGAGTCCCATTCAAACCACTGTTCTCTGAGTGTTGGCTCAGTCACTGGCTGTGTCCTGCTAGCCCAGGCTCAGAGGTCGTCTTCTCTCTGCAAGATTGTAGTGGTTTGAGTTGTATTCTCTTTTTGCATTATTTCTGAAGCATAAACAAGAGCAGGTTTAAATACAAGCGAGGTACTAAGAGAAATGAATTTCAGCCACCAAAAATGCTTGGACCACAAAAAGAATGTATCTGGAAGGAACCTTTTTTCCCCCAAATATTTTACTGAAAGGCAGTAAAAAGACAAAAATGTGAAGCAATCACATCTTGAAGGTGCTATATGTAATTTTGAAAGGGATATGTAGTGCCTGGAAAGGTTTTGAAATGATGTTTACTAATAAGTATTCTAAATTATAAGTTTTAGGGAGATAATAAGCAGAATAGCGATAGGTAACCTATTAACATACTACAGTGTTCTTTACCAGTAGAATATCTTGTTAATCTGTCCTTGTGATGAACAGCAGCACTTACTCAGACTAAAAATAATAGCAGGACCGTGTATCTTGGATCCCAAGAGAGTATTGGTGTTTTTGTAGACAGCAGACAGGAGAAAAAAGGCATTTTGTCCTTTTTACCCCAAGTAATCCCACTGGAAAATTAAACATGTGCTATGAATTGATATCGACTCATGCCAGGTTACCTCCCTAAAGAGGGCTGCTGCAAACACTGTTGCTGCATTTCTTGGACAGCAGTTTGATGGCCTGTGTGCATGATGGATATTTTATGCTGTATGCTACTGTGGAACACTGTGCTACTGTCTGCCCTTCGGAGCCCGCTGGGGAGGTGTGCCACAAATAACTGGGAACAGCAATTGCTTTAACCCTACGGAGAATCTCAAATACCTGCAAATTAAAACTTGTTACTGAAGTATTTCTTGTGCGTGTGTGTCTGGGAAAACTCTGTTGGTTTTGATTTTTAAGGTTTAATCCTGCAAAACAGAGAAGTTCCTTTTGTCTTGCTGTGGATTCCTACTGAACACAGGATAAAAAAAAATATTAAGCAATATATTAGCAAGAAATATTTAGAGAAACCACGAACCTTTTTTTTAATGGACCACCCTATCCAGTTTCTGTTCTTTTAAGGAAGTTTTTCCTATTCATGACTCATTTCACTCTTTGGCTAACATCAAGGGAAATGGAATAACGATTAAGTAAAGGAATGTATGTTTTTTTCTGGTTTTGTCCTCTTTTCAAAACCTTTATGAATTTTCTGCATAACCTTGTGTAAATATATATGGATGTAGAAGCCTGACAACTGTGACAAGGTAAAAAGTACACTGCTAATACTTGCTTCTTAGTAATTTTTTTAAAATGTTCCTTTTGGTTCTACAAGTTAATGTTATTCTGAATACTCCAGACTCCCTATTCAGTTAAAATGACATGCTCCAGGCAGCCAATTACACAGAACTGTTAAGTGAAATTAATGAGATCACCCCCAGATTACACTTTGTGTTTTATTTTCATTTTATAGGTCTGTACGAGCTGCTGGCTGCATTGCCAGCCCAGCTGCAGCCACATGTGGACAGCCAGGAAGACCTGACCTTCCTCTGGGATATGTTTGGTGAAAAAAGCCTTCATTCACTGGTGAAGGTAAACCACATTTAAGTCAGATTCTCTTTGAGAAGAGCATATGGAAAAATGTTTTGAGCGCCATCTAGTAAACCAGTGATCAAACTGTTGCTCAGTGAAAACAAAACAGCCTTGTTTTAACTCTGTTTCTGTCAGGGGTGGAAGTTGTTAAATAAGATTCTACCAAAAATACATAGATGATTTCATTTAAGAGTGATGTTTTGGCAGTGTAATGCTAATGCAGCAAACATATGTTGTTTGCCCTTGTTTAGAAAAAAAAGAGTACGAAATAGTAGCAGGAAATCTGAGACTTCTTTATGGTCAACATTCAAGACCTGGAGTTTAGCTTAAATAAATAAATGTTCACAGCAAAAATTAGAAGGAATATATTTTCTGAGGTCAAGTATGGCAACAGTTCAGTAGCCACATTAATTTAAAATAATTTCCTTTAACAAAGTCAACTGAAATTCTAGTAAGCTGTTTCTTTTATTGGCTTGCCTCCATTTAAAATTGTGTTTTGCACATAAATATGTTGGACTAAAGTACAACCTAAAATAAGTTTGGAAGAATACTTGAGTAAAGTGTCCTGCTATGAAAATGATCAGCAACAAGAAATCAAAGCATGCCATGGGAGTATGCAGAGCTACCCTGCTAATGGTAAAATTGCTTATAGCAGAAAAATGGGACCAATCAGCTGGTTAGAAATGTTCCACTCCTACAAAATGGTAAGTATGTCTTCAATCTCCAGTACAGAGCTAATTCAAGCTGCAAGGAAATTCTGAGGTCTCAAACAAGTCAGTAGAGTCACCTTTTTCCATTTCTTGTAGCTATCTGATTCCAGAAAAGGATGTAAAAATGTTGATACCTGGCCAAAATTATTTTCAAATTGGCTGAGAAATTACATATAAAATAAACAGAAGTACTAGCTGGTGGTTGATACACAAAAGGAACAAACAGAGGAGCAGTTCTTGGCAATACTCTCTTGCCTAAAGAATTTCATCAAAATTTCTGAAGTGCGGTGATTTCCAGACTCCATCCTGCTTTGCTGCAGCTGTCTGCTCAGGTGGCTGAGAGGATCACGGAATGGGGAATCACTGGTTTTGTTTCTAATATAGACTGACAGTGGTGTGTATCTAAGCAAAATGTTAGGTCAGCAGCTAAATCAGTTTTCTTTCTGGATTGGGAGTTACAGAAGTCTGGTTTGAAAATGTGTCGATCTGCAAAACATTGACATTTTAATGTTTGCTCTAATTTTCTATTGAGGCAAAACCTAAACCTTTTCAGACTTGTTCATTTGTTCCCTTTTGCCCCTTCCCTCAAAAGATGACGACGGTAGCAACACAGCAGCTAATTTACTCTCCTTGAGTGTACTCTCAGTTTGGAAAAGTTGGCTCTCCTAGTTGCGTGCCCTAGTTACCATGTTGTTTGTTATTGCAGGGAGGATTGGTCTTTCTGATTTTAATAAAAAAGAAGTCATGAGAAAGCTTTCTTGAGGCAGATAGAAAGTTTTGGGGATCAGTGAATGGTCACAGATTACAATTACAGCAATTACAAGAAGAAGACATTGAGGTATTCCAACTATCTCTATTATTTATCGTGTTGCATTTAGGTCCAAGTATTAAATGTAACTCTGACCCTGGGGACAGTTCTTTCAATGTCCTGTTAAGTCTCATGCTACCTTAAAAAAGACTCAATTCTTGAAACTGCATCTTTCATGTTCCCTAGTTGCAGTTCTTTAGTATTCCATACAAATTTAATTCACAAGGTAAAGTTTTTTAACTATAAGAATTTAGATTATTAAGAGCACCTGGTCTGACCTAGTGCATATGCCAGGCTACTGAACATCACCTTTCATTTCTGTGGTGTTCAGTTCCGGAAAGTTGGGCACAAAGATCTAGAAGTTTATCTAGTTCATCTCCCTGCCCCAAGATGGTCTTAACTGTATTTGAAACTCATAGTGTTTGTTTGACCTTTAACACGTTTTTTAGAAGAATTATTCATTATCCTATCAAGTTTCGGAGAAGGCAGTCCATAGCCTTTTTGGAAAAGAGCTGTGAAAGCAGAAGAATGAACTCCATCTGCCATAATTTTTCCCTGTTACAAGGCTTCTAAAGTGCCAAATCTTTCTTTCTGGGTTTTGGTGTCTTATTTGAAAGACTGTTTTTCCTAGCAATAACTTTTTAAAGTCAACTGTACTTGCAAAGACAAATGTTTTTAATTCCTCAGGCAGAGAATGATGACAGATATTTTGTAATAAAAAAAGAAAAAAAAAAAAAAGAAAAAAGCACTAGCTTAGAGCCAAGGATGTTGCGAACCTGGTATGTGTCACTTTTGGAAGAAAATGAGCATAGGTATAGTATTAAGTATTAAGATAGATACACTGCTTAATAAAAATTTCTAAGCGGATCTTCTTACCTTACTGTTTAGTAATTTCAAATATTAGAAAAGAGCTTTTTTTCTAAGTTATAAAACGGATTAAATGCTCCAAATTGCTTGAAAGGTTTAACTATAAAATGAACTCCTTACTTTTTCTACAGATATTCTAAGTTTTATGGGTATTTAATTATTTTAATTATCATAGTTTTTTCTGTATGGTTGGATACTACGGCATATGGTTTGCTATTCTGGCTCTCTTAATATTGAAAAGAAAGAAAAAAGAAAAAAAAAAAAGCCCCAAACCTTGTCTTAGAGTTCTCTTCATTCAGTATTATTGGACAGAAATCTCTTTGTGAACTTGGATCAGCCTGAGCTGTTCTAAGAAGTCAGAAATGGAAAAGTTGTATTAGATCATCCAGTCCATTTCCCTGCAAATACTGGATTGTTCCCTACAGTACATTCCTATTGTAGTAAGTAAAACCATCAAAAACTGATGCAACTGTTCTTGCTGTCCCTTTTCTCAATAAAGGAATCTGTTGATTAGATTTCAGTTTGCAAAGTATAGAGAAGAGGGAACCCGCAACCGTTGTTGACAGTTTGGAAGAGAAAACTGGCTCTGGAGAGTTGAATGTTTAAAATTTGTCTCTGCTTCCCTCAATTTGTTACTTCCCTGTGTTATTACACGACTCTCTTAAGTTCTACCAAAAATCTTCAGCTATCTCATTACTTTTTATATAGTAGAGATCCCAGTATTCTGTAGAGATTTATAGGGAAGAAACATGAAGAGATGATCCTTCAGGGTAATTATAGGCACTAATGTAGCTGAAACATGAAATAGTACACATGTGCTCTGCTTGAATTTTTTTTTAGAGGAACAGGAGGGATAAATAAAGATCTGTTCTAACTACTCTTTTAGCTTATTTTTAGAGGAGCTGCAAGAATTTCCATGTGTGTTTTCTTGCTGTTACCATGCTGGAGACTTTTACTGTTTGTCTGTTTAGCTCCAGGATGAAGCTTTTACTTGCACTGTCACCTTCGACATTTCTGGTTGTGGATGTAATCCTCAAGAATTGACTCAGCTTATCTGTTGGGCTGCGACCGAAGTATTTCTTAACCAGTTGCAGTTTACTGATTGATTTTGGCGAGCTCAGGGCATGCACAGTCCTTTAGCCAGTCCTGTACTTTGCATTAAGAAGCAGCCACAGCAAGTGGTGTTGCAGTTCTCTTGATAGAGAAAAGTTTGTGCATCCAAAAAGTAGTATGTGGCACTGGAAAAGAAAATAATTACTGAAGAAGTAAGGAATATTTGATGAATCTAGTCTGATTTTATTATAACTGCATCATATTTTGGTAGTTGGCCCTGTAAAACGTTAATTTGTGCTAATTTTCTATTTGTTTCACCTGGGTATAATTTTGCTTGAAGTTCTGAGAAATTATTTTGTATTTGCTAATTTTTCTCCATGTCAGTGGCTAGCAGCTTTTTCTAAGTAGTCTCATGTCCAAAAATAAAATAGTTGAGTGTATCCTGATGTAATTCCTTTGGCATGGAAGTTGAAGCAAATTATACATAGCCCAAATTTTACAATCGTTGTGGTAGAGAAGTATTGGAAATTTTCAGTGTGAAGGCTCAGGTCTTGCAATATGTAAATGTAGATGCTTTCAGCTTACTCCGGTTTCTTAGATGGTAATGAGAAAAATAAAGATAGAATTTACAAAAAATGAGCTGACTTAGGGCAAAGCAAAAGGGATTGATTTGACACATGCTTACAGTGATAAAATCAGCAATCTTCAGGTGATGTGCTGAATCTGCAGTCTGGACTGACACAAGCCTACTTCATATATATATATATATATACACATTCTTAGTTTTGACCCAGAGCTTCACGCACAAACACCGTGAACAAAGCTGTTAATCTGCAGGATGAACGACTTTGCATCTACAGTGCAGAATCAAAGAGTCTCAGTAAGGTTTCATGGACCGGTCTGTGTTAGAGGGTAACTCGTAACTGTCCAGCCTTTCACCTGGGAAGAGCTATGCAGATTGTTCTTGTGCTCATGGAGGGGCCGTATGGGGTAGATTCCCCTCCCCATGATGGATCAGACATGTGTAACCAACATCCACATACATTCTGCACGGATCATGTGCATTCACCTCCTGGTCATGCATCCAGATGGTGAATGCTCCTGCCTGGGCACTGTGCTCAAGCATCCACACATGTGGATCTTCTTCCCAAAAGAATGTACAGGAGACAGAGTTCAGATTATACGAGTTGTTCTGATGAGTCATATGTGACAACTAATTGTTCTGAACCTTTAATGGTGATGACCTATAGACTGAGGGAATGGTATCTGCGTCTATGTCAAAGGAGAGGGAGGGTGGCTGCTGTGGTTTGGGCTGGGTTGGCCCATGACAAGACAACAGATGCTCTCCCTCACCTCTCGCTCCAAGGAGACGAAGAAGAGAGATAAAGGGAATTGTGAGTTTAGAAAAAAACTAAACTACTTTAATGAAATATTAATAATAACATTCAAAGAAATAATGAAATAGGTACAATGTACATAAATATATACAAAACTATGTCAAGCTCCCAGGCAGTTGTCATCAGCAGGGAATGTTCTAGACTGGGAAAGTTCCAGACCCCACTCAGCGACAGATGGGACGTGGATTCTGGAACACACCGATTGCATCAAAGGCAGGTGAACGGCCAGGGTCTGCCTCAAAGGTTGGCCATCGAAGGAGGAGAGGCATTGGGGAGAGCTGACCCTTTGGTCCCTCAGCTTTTATACTGGGCGTGGCAGAGGGGATGGAACACCCTATTGGTCAGTTTGGGTCACCTGACCTGCCCACTCCACCCCCTGTGAGGTGAGCAGCCCAGGTGCCACAGCAGTGAGTATGAGCACGAGCTGCTCTCTCGAAATAGTACACATGTGCTCTGCTTGAATTTTTTTTTAGAGGAACAGGAGGGATAAATAAAGATCTGTTCTAACTACTCTTTTAGCTTATTTTTAGAGGAGCTGCAAGAATTTCCATGTGTGTTTTCTTGCTGTTACCATGCTGGAGACTTTTACTGTTTGTCTGTTTAGCTCCAGGATGAAGCTTTTACTTGCACTGTCACCTTCGACATTTCTGGTTGTGGATGTAATCCTCAAGAATTGACTCAGCTTATCTGTTGGGCTGCGACCGAAGTATTTCTTAACCAGTTGCAGTTTACTGATTGATTTTGGCGAGCTCAGGGCATGCACAGTCCTTTAGCCAGTCCTGTACTTTGCATTAAGAAGCAGCCACAGCAAGTGGTGTTGCAGTTCTCTTGATAGAGAAAAGTTTGTGCATCCAAAAAGTAGTATGTGGCACTGGAAAAGAAAATAATTACTGAAGAAGTAAGGAATATTTGATGAATCTAGTCTGATTTTATTATAACTGCATCATATTTTGGTAGTTGGCCCTGTAAAACGTTAATTTGTGCTAATTTTCTATTTGTTTCACCTGGGTATAATTTTGCTTGAAGTTCTGAGAAATTATTTTGTATTTGCTAATTTTTCTCCATGTCAGTGGCTAGCAGCTTTTTCTAAGTAGTCTCATGTCCAAAAATAAAATAGTTGAGTGTATCCTGATGTAATTCCTTTGGCATGGAAGTTGAAGCAAATTATACATAGCCCAAATTTTACAATCGTTGTGGTAGAGAAGTATTGGAAATTTTCAGTGTGAAGGCTCAGGTCTTGCAATATGTAAATGTAGATGCTTTCAGCTTACTCCGGTTTCTTAGATGGTAATGAGAAAAATAAAGATAGAATTTACAAAAAATGAGCTGACTTAGGGCAAAGCAAAAGGGATTGATTTGACACATGCTTACAGTGATAAAATCAGCAATCTTCAGGTGATGTGCTGAATCTGCAGTCTGGACTGACACAAGCCTACTTCATATATATATATATATATACACATTCTTAGTTTTGACCCAGAGCTTCACGCACAAACACCGTGAACAAAGCTGTTAATCTGCAGGATGAACGACTTTGCATCTACAGTGCAGAATCAAAGAGTCTCAGTAAGGTTTCATGGACCGGTCTGTGTTAGAGGGTAACTCGTAACTGTCCAGCCTTTCACCTGGGAAGAGCTATGCAGATTGTTCTTGTGCTCATGGAGGGGCCGTATGGGGTAGATTCCCCTCCCCATGATGGATCAGACATGTGTAACCAACATCCACATACATTCTGCACGGATCATGTGCATTCACCTCCTGGTCATGCATCCAGATGGTGAATGCTCCTGCCTGGGCACTGTGCTCAAGCATCCACACATGTGGATCTTCTTCCCAAAAGAATGTACAGGAGACAGAGTTCAGATTATACGAGTTGTTCTGATGAGTCATATGTGACAACTAATTGTTCTGAACCTTTAATGGTGATGACCTATAGACTGAGGGAATGGTATCTGCGTCTATGTCAAAGGAGAGGGAGGGTGGCTGCTGTGGTTTGGGCTGGGTTGGCCCATGACAAGACAACAGATGCTCTCCCTCACCTCTCGCTCCAAGGAGACGAAGAAGAGAGATAAAGGGAATTGTGAGTTTAGAAAAAAACTAAACTACTTTAATGAAATATTAATAATAACATTCAAAGAAATAATGAAATAGGTACAATGTACATAAATATATACAAAACTATGTCAAGCTCCCAGGCAGTTGTCATCAGCAGGGAATGTTCTAGACTGGGAAAGTTCCAGACCCCACTCAGCGACAGATGGGACGTGGATTCTGGAACACACCGATTGCATCAAAGGCAGGTGAACGGCCAGGGTCTGCCTCAAAGGTTGGCCATCGAAGGAGGAGAGGCATTGGGGAGAGCTGACCCTTTGGTCCCTCAGCTTTTATACTGGGCGTGGCAGAGGGGATGGAACACCCTATTGGTCAGTTTGGGTCACCTGACCTGCCCACTCCACCCCCTGTGAGGTGAGCAGCCCAGGTGCCACAGCAGTGAGTATGAGCACGAGCTGCTCTCTCTGACCAGCGAGTTGGCTCTGCTCCTTCAGAACCAGGGCAGTGGTGGCGGCTGAGGAGAACATATGAGACAGGGTAAGACCTGAGCACGGCACACGTTATATGGAATAAAGGGTGGGGATTGTGCTGAAATGGAGTTGGCTTTCTTTGTGCCAGCCCAATGGTGTTGATGTTGACTGCTTCCATGTTTCAAGTTTTGAAGCTACTGTTGACATTTTTTTTTCCAAACATAAAGATGTTAGTTACTTTGTTCTTCATGTATGCTTTCTCTGGAGCTACTGCTTACACAGTCTTCATAATTTATTGTTGGAACTGTCTGTTTCTGCAGTCATGAGAACTCTTTTTTTTTCTGTTAACTGCTACGTTACACAGAAGACAGAGAGGACAGGGTGTGTTTTTAAGGAGATTTTGGTGGCTTGTATGTTGACACCTGTTAAAAGAATGGTGAGAAGGGTTCCTGATTTCAGGACAGGCAAAACCAGCTCCCTCAGAAGGAGCTCAGAGGAGCTGTGTTACCCAAGAGTGGCAAGCCTGGAAAATGCACTCAAAGAGGAAGAGTGGGTCAGTAAGTGGGATTGGGCATTGGTGGACCATAGGTGGCACCTAACCTCAAATCAAACCGAGCGAGTGAGTTGTGGCTTCAGGAGAAAGCATTGTAGAGTTGGAGAGACGCACAGACCACCTTGGAGTGGGTGGAGTTATTGAAACTGATAGTTCATTCACTGAGAAATTGCTTTGATACTTGAGGTCCTTAAGGTTCTCTACTGCTGGGTTCTCAACCATATTTATTTTTAAAAAGCTGTGCCTTCCTGGTAAATGGAACGGATTGCAGTTCTGTAAATTCATGTGGAGGTCTGAAGTGCTGTTTGCTTTGGAGATGGGAAAAAAATGAAGGAAAAGGCGGTGTGAGTTAGCATTTACCACCTGGTCATCTGGAGGAGGAGGTTTGAGTGTGGTTGTTGGCAGCTGGTAACAATTCATGGCCAATGAAAAATAATTGTTCTTCATGCTCTAGAGGAGAATTGGGCAAGGTTGCTTCTTATGTTATAGTTTATGTCTTTCAGTCAGAGAAGGCATGCAAAACCTACTGATGGCAAGAGGAAAGTGATCACTCCTGCCATGCAGACTGTCCAAACAATGCACAGATGTGGTCCCTTGTGCTGGTTTGAAAACTTTTACTATTTCTGGCAAAGGGAGAAGGAATTTTCTGTAGTTGA